AAAAAAAAAAAAAAAAGAAGAAATTCAATTTTGCAAGATAAAGAAGTTCTAAAGATCTGTTGCACAATGGGAATATATTTAACACTACTGACCTGTATACTTAAAAATGGCTACGATGATAAAGTTAACGTCCCATGTTTAACACACACATACTCCTGGACAGAAAAAAAAAAGCCACTAGAGAAATCCAGACCCTCAAGTGCAATCCAGCACCACCTGGGCAAAGTCCCCAAAAATCCTGTAGCTGAGCCAGCCCCAAACACCCTGCCCTCCTCTGCCACCCGGCCTGGTCAGGCCAACACTCCCCTTCTTCCCATGTCCTCATATCCATCTCTAGCACTGCTGTCCCGACAACTGGCAAGGACACTTTGCTGTTTCACCTCCATCTCCTCCCGGATCCAGGGACCTCCTCCCACTATCACTTCCATCCTACTGTCCTAGTGTCTCCACAGCTGGGCACCAGTCTCCAGGCCCCAGATTGCCCCCCCAATCTCTTATCCATCCTACACACAGATTAGTTCCCCTTAAGCCCAGCTATGTTCAGGTCACTCCTCTGCTTTAAAAACCTTCAATGGCTCCACCCTGCTAGCTCAACAATCCTACACACTGAGCCTGACATTCAAGGCCTTTCAGGATTTGGCCTCAGTCAATCTTTTCGTCCTTATCTTTCATCCATTCAATCCATTCCATTCAAGGACTCTTCCCTTTAGCCAAACCAGGGCCCCTCTTCTTGCCTCTCTCCACCTATAGCCCATTTCCTATTCTTACATACCCATCGCTTTGCACTCTTCCCTGACTGGATTTCCAAATCCTTATCCATGAAACTTTCCCTGAGCTCTTCGGGCAACATTAACCTCTCCTAAAGGTATTTCAACAATTACCCCTCCTACGTGCTAGGAGCCTTAGCACGGGAAGGAGAGATACAACGGTGAGCACACACTGATCCTGCCAGCACCAGGGATCGCCAAAGCACATCCACAGGCCCATGCAGTCTTCTCTCTCCACCTCAAGCGGAGAGCGGTTCTGGGCTGGGGGCCCCAATTTATTTGTTCTTCTAGGCCTACAAGAGCTGAATATAGCTCCTGACCCACAGTGGGATGAACAGAAAAGGCTGGCTTAGCGCTCCTCTGAAGAAACATGATTTTAAAAGGTTTTACAACTCATACACAAAGCTGGGGAAGAGTGGGGAGCCCTAAATTAAACATACCTAGGAAAAAGGAGGCAGAATAAAAAGATAAGGCCAGCAGGAGTCTAGGATGGAACAGGAGACTAGACCTTAGAAAAGGTCTGGCAGTTTCTATGAAACTAAACCTATATCTACCCCAGGACCATACTTAAGTTATCTCCTCTAAAGAAATGAAAATACAATCCTCAAAAAAGATTTAGGCAAGAATCCTCCCAGGAGCTCTATCCACAATAGCCAAAAACTGGAACCAGCCCAAATGCCCATCAACAAGTGAAACATATTGTGGTAGACCCATACAGTGGAATGCTATTCAGTAACAAAAACGAAAAAATTGCTGAATCAAGCAACTATTTTGTTAAGCAAAAGAAGCCAGATAGAAAAGAATACAGCCTTATGATTTCACTTATAGGACATTCAAGAACAGGCAAAACAACTCAAACTAAGAGACATCACATTAGCCATTGCCTGGAGCCAGGGAAGATGGACCTCAAAGGGGACTTTCTGGGATAATGGAGGTGGTGCTTACTTATATAAGTAAGTACTTACTTATACATACTTGTCAGAACTGCTGAACTATTCACCATTAAAAGGTGCATTCGATTATATATAAATTATACTTCTGGGAAGCTGATTAAAAAGAGAATCAATTCAGAGCTGGATGTCTGAAGACAATTTTCAAAAATAATAAAGAGGAGGTTGCAGATTTAGCAGTTAAAGGACAAGAAGCACAATTAACGCCCATGATGCAGTACAGGCCGGCTTCCAAGAGAAAGAACAGCAACTGCTGGCCCTGAGGTCTGAGAGACATTCTCCCGAGAGTCCTCCATGTGGAGGGCTGAGAAGAGGCATTGTGGAGAACCAGAGGACCCCTCCACCTCTTCCGCTGGCTCTTCATCATACCCAACGGGGCATCAGGCAGACATACCCCAGGCTCAGTTCTCTGACCAGCCCCTCAGCTGCCATCAGCCTCCCTCCCTAAAATGTCCCTCAGTGTCACTCACCTCCTCGTGGGTCCATTTGACCTTGCACTTGCTGTCCCTCTGCTCTGGCACGTCTGAATCTGTATCCTGGTAGTGCAGCTCATCCAGCTCCTCGCTGCAGGGAGAGCAAGCTAAGGGTCAAGGCCATGTGTCACACTGCTGTGTGATGGATGGACAGTGATCTCTAGGTAAAGGCTTGGGGGAGGCAGCCTTTTAGGCTCTACTTTTGATATGTCCACCTCCTCTTTTTTTAATTCTTTAATGAATTAGCGTTATGGGCAATTTTTATTTTCTTCTTTATTTTTCTATTTTCACAAACACCCTAATGATTTAAAAAGCTTCAAGAAAAAAAGATTTCACCAAGAATATTGTAATATTTGAAACCAGACACCCATTTAATATTTTCTTTTGCACAGGGGCACCTGGGTGGCTCAGTCGGTTAAGTGTCCGACTTCAGCTCAAGTCATGATCTCACAGTTTGTGAGTTCGAGCCCCACGTAGGGCGCTGTGCTTACAGCTCAGAGCCTGGAACCTGCTTCGGATTCTGTGTCTCCCTCTCTCTCTGTCCCTCCCCTGCTCACACTCCGTGTCTCCCTCTCTCAAAAATAAACATTTGGGGTGCCTGGGTGGCTCAGTCGGTTGAGTGTCCGGCTTTGGCTTGGGTCATGATCTCATGGTTCGTGAGTTCGAGCCCCGCATGGGGCTCTGTGCTGACAGCTCAGAGCCTGGAGCCTGCTTCGGATTCTGTGCCTCCCTCTCTCTCTGCCCCTCCCCCGCTCATGCTCTGTCTCTTCTCTCTCAAAACTAAATAAACATTTAAAAAAATTTTAAACATTAAACATTAAAAAAAATTTTTTAATATTTTCTTTTGGACAGAACTTTTTAAAATTTTATGGATTATTTTAAGGATTAAATCCAATGATATATGCAATCACCAAGTACCAGGATTTCAAGAAATATTGGTTATCTGAGAATAACATTTTAAATACATATCCTCAGTGACTATGTCCATTTTCCAATCCTTGCCTACACACAGGCATGGTTTATGGAAAAGAAAATCAAAGTACAAGCAACCTGGACTTCTGGATGTTCTTATGTTCTAAGAGGTAGTTTTTCAAGTTCCTCTAAAGTCTTCATATTTATCTGGTTTAATGATTACAAAAGTGGAAATCACACTATCCACCTCCAGGAATGTTGGTGCTGGGGGTGAAGGCAGGGTAAGGTTAGTAAGCTCCCAACTCCGGTCAGTGGGACTGCCTCAGGTCATCTGTTAGGCACATTCCTAAGTCAGGTGTCTGTAGGTGGGAAAAGCCATTTCCAAACAAGCAAGACAGCACAAGCCTTGTTCCAAAAGGACAAGGACTTCCTTGCATGTCCATCTTCCTTCCCCTTCTAGGAAGAGCTCAGCATCTTCCTAGAGTCACTCTTGTGCTCCCACACCCTGGAAATCCTCCTGTCTCAGAATGAGACTCCCTTTGGGGGTTGCCACCAAAGACCTTAAGAAATGTTTGCTAAGGGAATGACCAGGTCCTCGAATTAATAACTAAACATGAAGTCTACTCGTTGACAAGAAATGTTAAAGTAAATCTTTTCAAAGTAGAAAAAGAAGGAATGGACAATGTCTAAACCCAGGAATACATCGGTCACAGAAGGAGCTAGAATTGAGCCTTGTCCGGTCTTCCCTGACCCCATTTATGGTGTCTTCCTCCAACACAAAGTAGGAGGCAAAAACTCCACAAGATACTAACAGAATAAAGCTGCCTTTAAAATCAACTGCATCCAGACTTCTAACAGAAACCATCTTTGGTTCCCCAGCACCCAGCTTCTAATAGCAGCTCAGTAAACGTTCCCTCAAGGATGAAACGTGTGGACACTCCCTGGTGCTCCAATACTTTAATGGGGACAAGCAACTCAGCTGGGAGAATTCTGTGAGATAGTATACAAAATTTGCTTCTATCATCAACATGAAGCTAACGGACTACTTCACTAGCATTCCCAGTATCTCCATTTAACAGATGTGGAAATCAAGGCTGATGGGGATTATGCCACTTGCCAAGTCCACGGAGCCAGACTGCACACCTGCATCTTCAAGCCCTCACCCTGCAATGCCAGCTGAAAAAGCAGACACCAAGCCGGTGGTGGCAACCACCTGTAGGTCCAACACACCCTTTCTATGCCCTTCAATGTTCTGGGCTCTGCTCCAGGCCAGGTGAGTCAGAAGCTGAGCAGGAAGTGGGGGCACTGGTGCAGAGGAGAGTTACATCAATCGGCCAAGAATCGAACTGAGGGGCTGTGGGGTGCCAGGACGCAGAAATCACCCCTCACATGGGACAGGAGTCCTCCACTGAGCCCTAAGGGAGCAGTGGCAGAGGACCTGGGGGTTTTCTGGGGCTTCGGTCATTCCCTGGAGTAACAGTTCCAGCACCACCTATCAGGACAGGGTCCCACAGGTGCCTGACCAGAAAACTCCTGGGAACTGGAGCTGCCCTGGGAAATGGTGGCCTGAGAGACAGAACCCGTGCCGGCACCCTCACCACTGCCCAGGGATCAGAGGCTTCCTCGCTGAGAGGAACTCTGGGGAAGGTCAGCAGTGAGTGTTTCTCAAGTCTACACCCTCCTCGGGAGGGGGCAAACACCATGGGAAGAGGGGGTTAAGGTCAAGGGGGCTGCGCCATTCCAGGGAGGGAACAGGGCAGGCAGGCCCCCTTTGTCCTCGGACTTCCCAGACTGATGAAAAGCCCAGAAGTCAGGCCCCAGGCACACAGGTGTAGACAGAGACCTGGAACCCACACACGAGGTTCCAGGCCCCGCGCTGCCACTTATTCTCTGGGGGAATAAGTAAAATGGAGACCGCAGTTCCTGCTTGGCCCCAGAGCGGTCGTGATACGCACCGGTCTCTCTTCCCCTCACCTTCTACCCCAGCTGCTCCAAACTCCTCATGTGGAAAAGGAGCACAGATCTCTGAAACTAAACCGAGCTCCAGCTCGACACCCAGGTTGGGACCGGCGGGAGTGGGGGACACACAAGAGTCCCCTCCCCCCGGCCCCCTTCTCAGGCCGGAGAGAGAGTTGGGGGTGCTCTGTACTTCCCCTAATGTTAAGAAACGCCCTCCGCCAGAAACGAATCCAAATAGGCTTGAACCAAAAGTCCTCCAGGCTTGGGCTTCCCCCTCTCTGCGACTTGGAGGGAGAAACACATTCCCACCCCAGGGGTCGCCTCCCTCCCCGATAAAGGCCCTAGCAGCTGACACCGCCGTCCCACCCCCACCCCGCAATTAGGCGGGAGACAAAATGACATCATGCAGGGCTTGGCCCGGGTCCCGGGAGCCCCGCCCGCCCCGGCTCCGAGGCCCAGCACGCCCGGGGAGCAGAGCGAGGGGCCCCCAAGAGCCCCCCGGCTTCCCGCGGGCCCCCCTGCCTCGGGCTACCGGGTACGCGGCAATTCCCGGGGAAGCCCCGCCCCGCCCGGAGGGGCCACAGCGAGGGTGGGGGGTGGGGGCAAGAGTCGGGGTGGAAGGGAAGGTGGGGGGAGCCCTCTGCCGCCCGGCTCCGCTCACCCGCGCGTCCGCCGAGACATCCCCCCGGCCCGGGCCGCGCCGCGCTCGCCCGCCCGCCGGCTGAGCCCGGAGCGGGAGCCGGGCCGGGGTCAGGCGCGGCTGTTCGGGCCGCTCCGAGCCCCCGGGCCGTGCTGGGAGCCGTCAGCCTGTACGCAGGTCCCGCCGCCGCTCGCAGGCACTTCGGCCGCCGCCGGCGCGCACAGAAGCACTTTTCTATCTCCCGCCAAGCGCGTCGGCGCCGCCCGGGCCTGGCGCGCGGGCGGGCGGCGTGCGCGGGGCGGAGTCTGAGGGCTGCGCGGGGGTGGAACCGGAGGGGCGGGCACAGGGGCGGGGCCTGTGGACAGGGGAGCGCCGCACCCTCCCAGAGCTCTGAAGCCTCAAGGCCCGGAGCGCGGGTCGGGGAGTGTCCCGCGAGCGTCGGGGTGGGGCCGGGAAGGCCGGGTTTGAGTGCCGCGGGTCTTGGGATTTGCGGTCCCGAACCGGCCGCCATTTGACTGAGGCCGGACCCAGGCCAAATGTGGTGGGTCCCGGGCGGCCCAGAAGTTGCCCATCCAGGAGACTGAGGAAAAGTAGTGAGGCATAAGGATGGGAGAGTCAGGCTAGGGAAACAGCCTGTGCAAAACCCTAAGCGCTACTCCCAGGGCGCTCCTCCGTCCCCTCACCCCTACCTAGGCAGGGTCTGTGCCTTCGAATTGTCTCCCTGCTTCCTCTCCAGCCTCGAATTCGATGGCTCTCGCTCGGTCCAACTCCCGGCAGTCTGAGTGAGCTTCCTAAAATGCAAAATCGATCTTTCCTCTCCGGAACAGAAAACCTCTCTCCCCTCCCTCAGGGTAAAATATTCCCTAATCAGGTTTATAGGATTCTGCCAAATCACCACCCTGCCCCTAGTCAAAGGAAAACTAGCTAGCCTCCTGGCCTTTTGCCTTTGCGTGGGGCCATTGTCTGGCCGGGAACACTTCCCGCGGCTCGCACCGAATTCCAATCTATGCTTTGGGTTCCCTGCCCACCATCTGCTCGTCGACTAGTGCATTTTTCCCTCCGAACTATGCGCACGCTGAGGTCCAAGTGGCCTCTCAATTCACCGCAGTATCCCCAGGGCCCAGAATTGTACAAGTGCTTAAACTACTAGAGGCTTAGCAAGGATTTTCCATTTTAAGTTGCCATTTATGCCAAGTACCTCCCAAGAGGCACGTCACACCGGGCTCCCTGGGAGGAATGCTGAGAGCAAGGTAAATGAACTATGCGACGGGAGACTGGGGAAATCTGGCTGAACCCCAGCTCTTAGCTCCTGCTATGTCTCAGATTCCTCTTCCTGAAATCTGAGGAAAAGGCCACCTTACTGGGCACCTGAGGCCAAACTAGCCAGCTGCTGCAAACTTCATTTACCACAGCAGAAGGAACACTGACATCTTAAGTACCAGAAGCTTCCACATCAATTAATTCAGGTCTTCCCCCACCCACTTCCTTCATAAAGTAATTCATGCGGACATCCCCTCTTCATTGCTAGCGAATGATATTTAAGAGTGCAGGCTCTGAAGCCAGACTTCCCGGGGTTTGATTCCCAGCCCCATCATTTACTAGTTGTGTGATCTTAGGCAAATTACTTAACTCCTTTATGCCTGTTTTCTCATATGTAATAATTAGATTTATCAAAAACTTAGCTTTTACAATGTGCCAGCCACTGTTCTGTATGCTTTATAAATTTTAATTCATTTAATCCTCATAACAATGCTATGAGATAGTATTAGAATGATCCTCTTTTGGCAGATGGGGAAACTGAAACACGGCTGTCCCCCTCACCCCCATGCTATTGGTAAACGGCAAAGCAGGGATTCAAACTTGGGTTATCTAGTCTAGAGTCTATGCTCTTTTTTTTCCCCAATGTTTATTTATTTATTTTGAGAGAGAGAGCAGGAGAGGGGGAGAGAGAGAGGGAGACAGAGAATCCCAAGCAGATGCCTCACTGCCAGTGCAGAGCCCAACCCGGAGCTCAGTCCCACAGAACTGCAAGATTGTGACCTGAGCCAAAACAAAGAGTCAGACACTTAACCCACTGAGCCACCCAGGCGTCCCTAGAGTCTATGCTTTTAATCACCACACCGGTACCTACTTTGTAGGAAGGTTGTAGGACTAAACAAATTAATATGTACAAACCACTGAGAATAATCCTTGGCCCTTAGTAAATATTACTTTACTTTTAGTTTTTGTTATTGTTATTGTGATGGTGATGATGATGATGGTGATGATGATGATGACTCTTCAGCTGCCCTCATGCTTGTTCTTTGAAGTCCAGGAAGCTGCTTTGCACACGTTCTCACACGGATTACTAGTTGTGTTTCAGGAGAAAGAGAACCTGGCAGCTCAGGCAAGGTATTTGTCCAAGGCAAGAGACAGGGAGCAGCTGGAGAGCCCACGAGGAACCTGGAACTGGGGCTGACCTGACCAATACACTAGAGCCTAAGAAGCCTAGGGTCAGTGCAGTGAGTCAGGGAGCAGGGAGATCACCCTGGTGCGGGATGGAATCTGGTAATCTCCATAACTGTTTCCTCCAGTTACCATCATATCAACAGATACCCTCTGGAGACAGGACTCCAAGTATACTAAGTACAGCCACACCTGGGAGTGGTCCCTGGGGCCAGGATTGATTACACACTGCTGTCTGGGAAAACTTTCCTGGACATGCCCATCTTGGACAGGGAAGCTGCAGTCATTTGGTTATTCCACAATATTCCCCACCCCAAGCTCCAAACTCAGGGCCTGCCTCGGTCTTGGGAACACAGAATGAAATCTACTTATTAAATGCTCGGGGCCCAGCACCAGGCTGGACACAAAACAAACAGATTGAAGACAGGTAAATGATAAGTAGGATCACATGGCCCTTCTGCCTGGCTTCCTCTCCACCTACAGAACACCTTCCTTAACATCATTCTCCTATCATACTTCCTGCGCCCACAATTTCATTGTTCTCTCAAGAGCCTGGACAGTTCCACATTCACATTTTTAGCTTCAGATCTCTACCATAATGTTTGGCTCCTAGTAGGTACTCACAGAAGGGATTTTACACTTTTTTAAATTGAATGAATGAAATATAACACTAATATTTGGGCTAGAGGATTAGTAAGGCATAGACCAAAACTGAGAGGACGTGCCACACCAGAGTCTGAATTGTATTTAGTAAGATATGGGACATCAAGAGATTTTGAAACAAAGGCAAGTTTTTCAGATACTCTTGCCCCACGCTCAAGGGTCTCAGTGTAGAGGACAGTCATGGTAGCAGGTAAGTGGTGAAGGGTGAAGACAGACCTGAGAGGCCAGCACCAGGACTGGAAATGGCACAGTTACTACAAAAGGGTGGATTCCCCAATGCAGGGAAAGCAATTCAATTACCTGCTGCAAGGAATCTGACCTCTACAGAAAAATTTTCCCACTCACTTCTCAAAAGATTGAGATTTTATGAGTAACTATTTGTAAAGCACCTATCTGTGAGTTCCAGGAAAAAAAAAAGGCAAAATATTCAAGTTAGAAAAGTTGCCATAATCATACTGCTAGAGGGCTCGTAGCTTGACATAAAGCACCCATAATTTGAAATGTAAATATAATGGATACTGTTTGTGAAAATACACTGAAATGATTGAGACTGGGCTGCAGGCAGGGGCTAGTCATTGTGAGGTAATCTAACCATCCATACTCTCCAGAAACTCATCAGCTAATAGGATAGACAATGAGTAAACAGAAAAGTAGAACTGTAAGGGTGAAGATAAACTTCAGGGGCTGTGGGTGCCACCCAAAAGGGTCACTGAAGGCTCTTCAGACCTTGGTGGTTTAGGAATTTGCAAGGTAGCTAATGTGGGGAATAGCACTTCAGGCAGAGGGAGCAGCCAGTGCATGCCAGGGAGAAGAAATATGAAAAAGTACTCAGGGATTGGCCAGAGTTGAAGTCATTTTTGACTCTTCTCTCACATTACTTATCTGATTCATTTGCAAATCCTATTGGCTCTACCCTCAAACTCTACCTTCAAAATATATGGGAAATGCGAATTAAAACCACCCAGCCATATGGAGACAAGAAAAAAGAGTGCGTATGTCCACACAGAGATTTTTACATAGCTTTGTTTGCAACAGCCCCAAACTGGAAACAACCCAAATGTCCATCAACAGATGACTGGGTAAACAAATAATAGATATAAAATAAATATATCCAGGGGTGCCTGGGTGGCTCAGTCGGGTAAGTGTCCAACTTCAGCTCAGGTCATGATCTCATGGTTCGTGGGTTCGAGCCCCGCATCAGGCTCTGTGCTGACAGCTCGGAGCCTGGAGCCTGCTTTGGATTCTGTGTCTCCCTCTCTCTCTGCCCCGACCCCACTTATGTTCTATCAAAAAAAATAAATAAACGTTAAAATAAATATATCCATACAGTAAAATGCTATCCAATAATAAAAAGGAATTATTGATACAATATGAATCTCAAAAATAATTATGCTGAAAAAGCCAAAAAGTGGATATTGTATATCATTTACATACAACTGTAGAAATTGCATAACAGAACCAATCAAAGTGACCATGGTTGCAGAGAAGGGATTACAAAGGGACAGAAGGAATTTGGGGCAGTGACTGATATGTTCCATTTGCATAACTCTAGGGGTGCCTATTCAATCACTGGGAGAAGTGTGGGGTCACTGACCACAGAACAAGGGAAACAACTCTGCTGGGTTTGTCCAGATCATGCCGGCCCCTGCTGTGTCCTGATTTTCACAACTGCACAGAATGAGAATTTGGTCTTTTAGAAACCATTTAACCCAAACTTCTGGCGTTCTTGTAAGGAAGAGGAGACTCCGATACAGCTGCCAGGGCCCTGGGCTGCTTTATACACAATGTTCAGCCTACAGCCCCGACCTCTACCCTGGGCTTTCTGGGCATCAGCTTTCGCAAACTGAGTTCTTTCTTTTGCAATGTGTCCACTTGTCCAGCAACCAAGCAGGGAAGGATTCACAGGTTAGGGAGTTCCGGCACAAAGTCAGGG